CTCTCTTCCCCTCTCTCCCCCTCTTTCCCCCTCCATCTCCACCCGTCTCCCTTACCTCTCCTACTTTACTATCGCCATTGCTTTGTATTTATTACAAAGCATTGATTCTCTTCACAGCTCTACAAATACAAAACCTCGAAGGCTTTTAGCAGTGCGTTTTTATTTGTCCGTGCTAAAATTCCGAATTATGATCCTTACCTTTTAAAAAGGTTAAATTTCATTTTTCCCTACTTGCTTCGCTCCACCCCTCCCCTTCTTCCCCTTTCGCGGTATCTATAAACGCACTTTCACTCTCCCTCTCATACTCCCGAGGCAGGTGCAATGAGCAAACTGCCTCACGCATGAGCGAGTGCGCTTGCTTGCCGTGCGCCCGTGGTGAGGCTTGTCTGATAACTAGTGGGAACTAAACCCCAATGGGCCCTCTGTTATTATTGGCCATAAGAATCAATTGTTTACGATTTTGTCCGGGGAAAATTTTTTCTGAAAACTGAAATGTGCAAGAGGCATGCACATGCAAGTGCTCAACCCTACGCTTTTAAGTGTTGGGCTGGAAATTTGAAAACTTAACAGTGCTTTACAGTAAAGTTGAACACTGAGATGAGCACTATGAACCCGAAAGTTTCGTCCACAGATACTTTGTATCTGATGATCAGAGATCGGTGTTCACATAAATTAATATTGGGATACATGCAGTGTGTATTAGTTGACGAAATGCTGCACGGTACAAACGACGCCCTGGTTTCAAAGTAGCCAAGCATCTCTTGAGGAAGATGCATGGTGAAGGTTTTTTCAAAACTGTTTGTAACCATAGGACGTCATTGATACCATGTGCGTGGTGACGACTGGCGTGTAGCATTTAACAGTGCACGCGCAGAAAATGCCGGTGGTTATCAAGTAGCCTGGAGCTGAGCTCCGCTGGGCAGTGCGCTGGTAGCGGCGTATTGACAGCGATGGGGCTCACGTGTGATGCAACATGGCCAGGGTCACGCCGGCCATTAGGCGCCCGCCACGCCGACAGGTCACTCCCCTACCGTGCGCACCTACCTGCAGGCACTGGACGAAGCGGCGGAACTCGCCGAGGTGCGCGACGAAAGACGTGTTGACGCCCATGGTGTAGTGCTCGACGTCAAAGATGACCTCAATGTGGAGGGGCTGGCCGGGCGTGGAGAGCTGCAGTTCGATGTATCCCAGCGACAGCATGTAGAACATCATCCAGTTCATGTTGGACGGGTCCTTCGCGAGCTCGGGCGAAAACTTATAGAACGTGACGCGTGTGCCGTCCTCGAGCATCTTGGGCAGTGGTCCACCCCACCTGGAGGATGAAATATTTTTCCGCTATGAAAATTTTCGGAGCCCATGGTACGAGACCCTTAACTTTAAGGCGTCGTCTCGTTTTGGGGCGGTTCGCATCAGCACTCACATGTAATCGGCGAACGCCATGCCGACTTCGACGGACGGCGCGTTGAAGTAATCGGGCCACATGGCCTGCACGGTGAAGAAGTACTCGATCCGCCGCTTGGCACGCTCCAGCGAGTTCTTGCACGCCAGGAGGTATCGACAGAGCCAATCATCCTCTTCCTCTGAAACAACAACGCACCCATCAGTGATGCTGCCACCCGGCCCCCTGCGTTAAGGTCCCTGCTCCCGCCCCCAACTGTAAAAATAGTAATTGTCTTTTAGAATCGTCCGAATATACACAGATATCTTGTGAGGGAATCAGTATGATTTTTTGTCACAAAATATGTTGTAAAATAACAAAAAATGTTGACAGTGTGCCGTCCCCTTGCGTGGGTCCGCCTGGGGGGTAGGCAAACCCCGGCCGCTGCGCGCACGCATGTCAGGCGGGCTGGCCTACCCGCCCCTTGCCTCCCGCATCGACAGCGCGCATTTCCGCACTTTATAAACATGTTCTGAGATGAACTCTCTGTGTCTAAGAACTAACCTGCGTATTAGTACTTTGTATAGCTCTGGTCTACACAAGTCTAGACTCGCGCTGAGGTGGCGTGGCGTAGCGGAACGCCGTCTGCCGTGCTAGAAGGCGTTGGCTGATCGGCGCGGCGCCTGGCTCCCGGGGCGCTCTGCGGACTGCAGCGCTCGCCGTTCAAATCTGGCTAAACTTTTGACGCAACTTTTGGTACCACGGCCATCGGTAGACCCTCCCCTACAATTCTAGACCAATGCGGGGTCTATGCGATAAATATTGAGGCGGCTTGATGTCGCAACGTGCGGCAAGGCGGCAGCGGCGGGGCAGAGAGCTTCCTGTCCCCTCTCTGTAGTCTCTTGTTTGTAGAGACAGGACAAAATGAATTAAGAAATATTACTCGCAAGCTATGTCTCTATTGAGAAGCTACACGCGAAAACTGTCTCTACATCCCTCTCCTCAGTAACTTTGCCTTAGTCCCTTCAAAATTCCAAATATAGGAGCAAAATAGAACACACAACCCTTTTATGTATAAATATTATGTATTTAATTGTAATCATGATTTGGATTTGTAAACCATCGAAATATTTGTGCAAGCCGGTGCAAGCAATGTGTCCATGGACACTGCAGTGAGCTCCTCACTGAAATATTTTAGACTAGAAGAGTTCTTGAATTTGTATCATCTGCTTTCATGATCCGTTCCTGGACGGACCTTTTTGTTCATCAAACGAGGCAGTGTATTGCCCTTGTCGATATCAACTTCCATATCACAAAGTACCTGGTCTTCATTTACCTGGAGCAAGCAAAGACACATTGGTGAGCCTCCTGGCCGGCCAGTCCATGCTGCATCCAGCCGAACCGGAACGTGGTCAGGCAGAGAAGGGAGATGCATTGAAGGAGACAATGACCTCTCCGCCGCGGAGCCGACATTCACCTTGCGGCCCGCTCTGCTGATGGATCCCCCTTCTCCCACTCCCTTCCCCCCTCGCAGTCTGAAGCGTTACATCACCGGCTGGGCTGCGTGAGAGTAGGCTGGCCGACGTTCCGGATGGTTTTGCGCACGCCACTCGCCGAGCATGTGTCTGACGCTGTGAGCCGGCCGGCCACGCACCCGCCCAGCCAAAACTAATGGGGGCTAAGTTTTTAAAGAGGATGTGATTGTGTGTGCGTGCGTGCTGCGCCATTTCTTCCTGTTCCACTTGCGTGCGGATGTAGTGCTCATTTTTGTTCGTGCCAGAAATCTGTGCGTCAGGCGTCAGCTGAGAGCTTACTGCGAAACTATATAAATGAGTCGGTCAAGGAAGGTGCGTGAGCACCGTGTTGTTGTTGTTTTTGTCTTTCGAATGCATCGATTGTACTCTCTCTCTCTCTCTCTCTCTCTCTCTCTCTCTCTCTCTCTCCTGTATCGCAATGCCTTTTTGTTTAAAAACGCGTGGCATTCTTCAGTTTTCGCACGATGATTTTTGCCTTTTGCGATTTTCCCGTAACTGTTGTGGGTGGGAAACCATTATTTTTCGCGCGCAAGTGTAATGTTTTGATTACTTGTTCCGCGGCGAATAACGAAACGCAGAACGCTGACATATTGTGCAGACGAAACAATGTCCCCTACAACGACTCTGCGAGGACCAAGAACCCGTGCCCGTGCGTCACGCTGACTTCTTTATGTATGGCAAATAAGTTAGTAATTGGAAACCACCATGAGGGAAATGCTTCGTTGCAGCTATAAAAATTATTCGGTCAGTACAGATCACAATATTTAACATCAAAATTTGAATAACGAGAACTTAAATTGTTTGGGTTACAGCAACTAAAATATTGATACCCATGACTAAAACGGACGAATCAAACAACATTTGATGGGTTTAAAAACGTTGATGAGTCCAATCGAAAATTTATCTTATTGCAAACAAGTGTGGCCCCAAGTGGTCGTCTGCTTACCCACCCCAGTTGAATCAGCTCTAGTTCTGTCTGTGCACATTTTGACTGTGACAAATATAATTTATGCACGAACTGATAGTTCAACGTATGCCAAGTGCGTTCTGAAGTCGTAGTGTTATACTCAGCGTGAGTCGAAATCAAACGAAATGGATAAAAAAAAATAGATATATCGATAGATCTATATCTCTAGTGGGCCTGATAACTTTCTTATCATGCATCTCACAACACAACGCTGGAATGTTGGTTGGCCGTCGTAAAGATCTAATGTCGCTTTAGGCGCCGATGTACCCACTATCCACTGCCAAATAGTAACTATGAAACTGTGCACATACGTGCACATGTACGATTTTTTTTAACCCTGTCGCAAGTAGGTCAACATTCCCCCTTTAGAGACATTTCTGGCCACAGTTTTCGTTGATGTGACATCTAATCGATGACAAACTCACTACTTAAATCTTTATCACACTGCAAAAAGCTTCGGTGAAAATTTACAATGTGCCCGGTGAAAAGAGGTTCTTGTATTGCAGGACCCGGTTTTGGATCTTGTGGAGAACGCCAATGGCATCCCAGACCAGATCTTGTAATACAAGAAACTATTTTTACCGTGTGGTCGTCTTGCACTGAGAAAAAAAATATTGCCCCCTTAGACAAGACAGCTGTCTATTGCGTCGTAGTTTGATCCCAGCACTAAACATATATAGTTCCCGCTCCCGCGATCAGAAACTTGGTGAGAGGCACATGTGAGGCCAGACAACAAAACTTTTGTCCCGAGAGCAAATTGTTTAGTACGTCCAAAACTCTCGGCTAAAAGCCCAGTGCCCAGGACTAAAAAAAATTTCTTAGTGTGGGTCGTCTAGATGTACCTATGGGTGTGCCCCTGATCCCGCTTGTGCTGTGACAATTAAACTCGGCCGATCGTAAAGCGGCTCAGCAGCCCTAGCATGGCAGTCGTATATTACTAGGAGTTTCCGCTCATTGCGCAAACCTGATAAATGGCGAACACTTAACTACTCTATCGGTGTAGCAGCATCTCATGTTTCTGCTCTTTCGGAACCCAGCAGGACTATTGCCATGCTCAACCATGCTAGTACTACTCACTACTCTGTAAATAATATTTCGAACCAATACTTGCAACCACCTTGTTGCTGCACACTAAAATGTTGTGAACCTTTTTCTACGCAGCTTATAAAAAGAATATGCACCTTCTGGCCTGCTTTCTTGCTGTATTATGAACAATTTATTCATAATTGCGCATTTAGAAAAATGCGCAAAAAGAGCAAAACTGCAGATTGTTTTAAGTTTGGTCGCTTTTAGCTCTTGCTCCTCATCCATACCCGCGGTCAAACGTCTTCCTCCTGCCGACTTTGGATGCAGCAACTCAGAAAACCTTGCGCAGACGATTTGGTCGCTTTGACATGTGGCGGGATAGCTTATCGTCACGTTCACTTCCACAAGTTCAGCTGGCTGCGCAGTCATTGTGCAAGTGTGACGAGACGCGCTCATTGCCAGGGTCTTGTCGATGTTGATGAATGAGCGCGCTGTGTTTGAAGTTCAGCTGGGCTCGGGAGGCAAACACTGCCTTGGCTGCTACTGCTGGTCCTGCTGCTATTGCCGCCCCTGCTGCCACTGCTGCTACTGCTGCTAGTCCAGCTGGTCCTGCCGCTCCTGCTGCTCCTGCTGCTACTGCTGATGCTCGACTTGGTAATGACCGTCGTTTATTTGGCAACTTCCTCCCGCATAGCGGCAACGCAGCGGAGCGGGCCAGCGCCGCGCGCCCACCGCAGACTAGCAGCGGATGCCGGTGCTCAAAACTAAATTGAAAGCAAACCTCTCGCTGCGCCGCTAACGACACTAGTGCCCGGCCCGAGGCCCGAGGCCCGGCCGGCAGTGAAGACATACTCGACTGACCTGTGAGCTTGGGGAGGTGCGGCTGCTTCTGGAGCCACTCCCGCAACGTCACTGCGTCCCTCCGCGTCGCCTCGGGCGTCGTCTCCCACTTCTTGTAGAGCTGCAGCTCCTGCTCCTCGCTCAGCTGATCCAGTTCCGCGAGCAGCCGCATATTGTAGTTGTTGTGTCTTGTAAAACTGATAAAAAGAAAGAAAGATTAATGGAATTAGTAAAACCTTACTGGAAGAAACGTTGTGGTCACCGAGGCACCAGTATCTTTTAAAGATTTTTTTGAAAACTTTTTTTTGTGTGGGGGGGGGGATATTCTGATAAATGACATTTGTTTATTAAAGCCAAATTTTGACCTCGTAAACTGTTATAATTTGGCAATTCGTGTAATGAAAAGGGTTTTACTGGTCAGTATTTCAGCAGAATCCAAGGTTAAATCAGATTAACGGTTTATAGGGCTTTGCCTGCCCCAGCAGGACTAATGTTTGGTCCTAGCGCAACGCGTAGCTGCCGTGTAGAAAACGGGTTCTGGTCAGAGAGCGGGAGAGAGGAGGGAAGAGAAGAGGAGGTTAATGGAGGCAATGCGAAAGGGATTATCATATTTTACTCTTTTACATTCTTCGTGGCGCGAGGTTCGCGGCGCGCACACGAAATGTATACTTCGCTTCATTACACTTGCGAACGATACAATCCATTCGCAGTCAGTCGTTCACAGTTAGTATTATGCGAACGGCTGTAAAAAGTTTCACGACTCTTGACACGGTGACGAGTGGGATAAGAAGGCATCAGCCTAGAGCAAGAAGGACTCCCGAGCATGGGCGTTGTGGGCTGCGTTTTATGATGGTTACGAATCATAATGACGAATCATAATGGGAAGGAGACTGTGGTGTCAAATCGAGTCGGTAAATGTATTTGCTAGTCGACTCGTAGCAGCAAGTGGTTCACGTCAGGAACTTTACGGTGCACTTTCCGCCGCATTTCTAGGTAAACTGCATATACGCCTGTGCGCTGTGTGTACTGCGGCCAGGGCTTCCTTTACGACAGGCCGAGCTTCTAGTTTTCGTAATTTATGGCGGTCGGAGAGCAGTGAGAGCAGGGCAGTCGGCAGTCATGACTGCCCTTGGAGTTTGATGACGAGGGAGCCTCATTATTCTGTGTCTAAGTGTGTGGGGGGGGGGGAGCGTTCGGCCATTAAGATTTCAAGACAGTGAGCACAACTACTCCAAACTAATCAGTGCACTTCACGGCGGGTGCGTGCCTGCACAGTGCATTGTGAATTTCGCCCCCCCCCCCAAGCACAAACACCTGATGCTGAGGAAGTAGTGTTTTCGAAAGTTGCATCCCGTGGCACACAGCATCCCGTGGAGAATGCAATAATGCAACAAGTGCATAGGCCATGCAACTCTTCAGAGTATGGATCCGTTTGTAAGCTCCAGCGTAGAGTAATAAAGCACGCGACGCACTGTACTAACCATCGCCCCAACAAACAATTAATATTTCCCTCTCTTTAGGCCTGATTGAGATGGAGCAGGTGTCTACGCGCCTGTTCGAAACAACCAGCGAGTAACGCGGTGCGTTACAACGTTTTAATTAGCGAGCGGCGGGAGAGCCGCCGCCGCCGCCGCGACCCCAAGATTTTGAGTTTGCGATTATGCTCGGCTGCTGCTCCCGGGGAGCCCCGTCTTGCCTCTCTCGTACCTCCCAATAATTAATCTGCTTCTCAACGTGTTGAAATAGAGCCTTTTGCGAGATCTGCAGTACGTGCATTCGTACGATCGTACGCACGCAGTAGTCTATCCCCGTCTAGCCTAGCCCGGTCCACCACCCTGGTCTAGCCGAGTCCCGAGCCCCGGCCGCCACACAGCCGGGTCAATCTGCATGCATAACCGTAATATCGGCTGCCGCTCATTTAACGCGGCAGCCGGGTCTGTACCAACGTGTGAGCTGCGCGCCTCCTGGGTCATACCCAGGGAGGGGGCCGGGCTTTGGGCTCTGGTCCTGGCCCGCTGCAGCCCTTCCTCTCCGGACCCTAAGTCTTCGATCGCGTGCGTTCGAGTCTAGGTCACGCTACCAGCAGTGCTATTTTTTCCACCACCTGCCCGTGACGCAACTGGCCCTATCTTTTCGGCCCTTCGTTATCCAACAACCCCCCGCCAACGGTTGACTGTGAGTGGGATGGAAGAGCCCCGAATCATCATCATCATTATTTTCGTATGTGTTTTCCCTTCCATCGCACCGCGTTGAGCTGTGTGAGGGCGCTGACGCTGCTCCAGTAACAGGAGTGCAGTCTAGGCTAGCGAGTGCTGCTCGAGACGGGATCATGGATAGTCGGTTTGGCGATCGCCGCGCGATGGGGCGGGGCAGGGAGCGGGGGGACAGTTGGGGCGGGGTGCGGCGTGTGGCATGGCTGCCAACATGGGCCTAGCTGCGGGCCGTGCACAGAGTGGCGCGATACACGGTCCTTGCATAAGTACTGACTGAC